TGTAGACAGTACTATTATATTTATATAGAAGTAGTTACATGGACATACAACAGACAGTACTATTATATTTATATAGAAGTAGTTACATGGACATACAACAGGTTGTATGTCCATGTAACTACTTCTATATAAATATAATAGTACTGTCTTTGTATGTCATGTAACTACTTCTATATAAATATAATAGTACTGTCTGTTGTATGTCCATGTAACTACTTCTATATAAATATAATATTACTGTCTGTTGTCTGTCCATGTAGCTACTTCTATATAAATATGTCTATGTAACAACTTCGCAGGGTTTGGTTGGATCTTCATCAAAATTGGTATGGAGGTTCATTAGTGTTATGCGGGGTTACATACAAATTTTCAGTTTTACATTTTTAGTTTTGTAGTTTTATGGGCGTTTTGGCGTTTTTTACAATTACATATAAGGGAAGCAACTTTTCATGTCCTAAGATAACCTTTCATTAATCATGAATTTACATAACTTCCGTCCAGGGGACGAGTACTCCATCTCCAGGGGACAGGTACTCCAGCTAGTCAACAAATATTTTTCTATCTCACTATAGTTGAAAAAGTAACACCACGTTTTGGTAGGGTAGAAGTCATCTTCAGTTAAGACAGTTTCATTTTTCTAACAGGGTGGTTTGGAATGGGTTGCCTTCAGATATTGTAGAGGCAGTAAATTTAAGTGAGTTTAAGAAAAAGCTTGATAAGTAAATGAACGATAAAGGTTGGCCTTAAGTTGCTTTGTTTTTCTTTATAGTTTTAGTTTAGGTTAGAGGATGGAACAACCGAGATGAACCAAAGGTCCCATGTTGTCCCAAAACGTTATGTTATGGTTTTTGTTGTTGTTGTTTCATGCAAATTTATGGACGATACCGTAGAAACTAAAGTTGCTAGTATTATAGACTTCCTGTATATATATACGTATTATTTTAGTGTTTTGAAGGAAGGCCCTCCATAGGTTTTGCTGTTCACGATAACATTTTCTTCAAAGTAAATGTATATAATTAAAACCTTAACAAGTGAGTTAAATAATAAATTTTACAGGAACACGAAGTTAGTAAAAAAATAAAAATATTTCGTAATATAGATTATATAATATTTACTGTCAGAGTGTTTTATAATAACCGCTTATTGTAATTTTTAATTACTTCGGCCCTTTCACAAAGGGAACAAAGAAACAAACTGATCCATATCAAACGACGCACAGACAATCGTGTCTACTAAAATAAAAACAACAAGAGGTACTGGTAGAAACCTGCCTGGTCTGGATTCAGTTGGGGGGAAGTAGCGATGGTCTGTTTGCAGGTGTTTACGGTGTTCGTGCTCGCTCTTCCTAGAAAGTTAGGGCATTTTGGTTGTTTTTTTCATGAAAACTAAAAAAAAATATCAGTTTTCGTCTATTTCTGATCAGTCCATGTATATTTACATTTTTAAAAATATATGTTTTGTTTTTTATTGTACAAATATAGTCAATAATGTCGCTTTATTATTTTGTTATCATTGTTTAGTGAATACTGAATCAGTTAATATAACTTGATATTAATAAAACTTTGAGGACAGCTGTGCTTCAACAATAATAACTTGATGTTGTTGTATTATATAGTTGAGTTTTAATTGTTTAAATTCCCTGTAGCGATTGTAAGTCGAAGGATTAATAAGATATTTAAAACTGAAACCAATAAGGTGAGGGTAAGTTAATTTAATATTTGTTTGTATATCCTTAGGATAAAGAGGAATAAAAAAACTAGCAAGGGGACAAAGCCTTTATCTTCTTAAGAGTTTACCTTAGATATCGTAGTCAACTATATCGGTGTCTTTAACAGTCGTTCGAAACCAATTGTAACTTTTTCTCTTGTAATTATTAAAAAATATATATAGCTGAGTCATAGCATCACCTGTTATCAGCTCTTAGAAACAAGAAATTCTCGGCGAAAAGCACGTTTTAAACCTCGTAACTAAGTAACATAAATTATTGTTCATACAAGAATTATATGTGATAAGAGTTTATTCTAGCATGTGGAACAGTGGACCTAGTGTGACCCGGTGGATAACATGTCGAACAGTGGACCGAGCGTGACCCGATGGCTAACATGTCGAACAGTGGACCGAGCGTGACCCGGTGGATAGCATGTGGAACAGTGGGCCAACAGTGACTGGTGGATAATACGTCGAACAGTGGACCGAGCGTGACCCTGTGGCTAGCGTGTGGAACAGTGGACCTAGTGTGACCCGATGGCTAACATGTAGAACAGTGGACGGAGCGTGACCCGGTGGATAGCATATAGAACAGTGGACCGAGCGTGACCCGGTGGCTAGCATGTGTAACAGTGGACCAAGTGTGACCTGGTGGATAATACGTCGAACAGTGGACCGAGCGTGACCCGGTGGCTAGCGTGTGGAACAGTGGACCGAGTGTGACCCGATGGCTAACATGTCGAACAGTGGACCGAGCGTGACCCGGTGGATAGCATGTGGAACAGTGGACGGAGCGTGACCCGGTGGATAGCATGTGGAACAGTGGACCGAGCGTGACCCGGTGGCTAGCATGTGGAACAGTGGACCAAGTGTGACCCGGTGGATAACATGTCAAACAGTGGATCGAGCGTGACCCGGCGTCTAGCGTGTGGAACAGTGAACCAAGTGTGACCCGGTGGCTAGCATGTCGAACAGTGGACCGAGCATGACCGGGTGGCTAGCATGTCGAACAGTGGACCGAGCATGACCCGGTGTCTAGCGTGTGGAACAGTGAATCTGCGGATCCTTTTAGCGTTTCGTTACCGCAAAAAGAAAAAAGAAGAAATGGCGCTCCGCCCTTTAGGGTCACTGGTGCGTTATAAGGGTGCCGATCAAATTCTAGAGTTCAGTCTGACAAGAGTAACCTAAGAGTTGACGGTAGATTCTATTGACTAGCTGCCTTCCTTCTAGTCTATCAGTTCAGAATTAGATATGACTAGCGCAGATAGAACCCACGTAGCTTTGCGCGAATATCTGAAAACATCTGCTAACCGTATCTCATAGCAATGGAGTCTACTTGCTTACACCCTTACGAGCTTATTCGCTTGAGAAGTAATTACCAGTTGAGTAAAAATTAAACTCAACAATACTGACATCTTCCTCTCGCATCCCCCTATATTGATGTTAGTTGTTGATGTCTTAACGGAACAGCCACTAAGGTGAGGATTAGGTTAACTTCAAGTTAAGACCTCCCACAAGCATGATATTGGTTGATAATCACCAATGGAGAAGAGGATTCTGGGTGAATCTTTGTGTGTGTTTTCCTAGACAATCGCTGGTTAATTTTTATTCTTACAAAAATTGCCTGTTATGGGAAAGGATTAAAATCAAGCTATATTTGTTAAAAAAAAAGATAGAATTTAATTTCTTAATAATGTTTTTCAGGATGTTCTTCACAACGACTCCATAAAACTAGACTGGATGTTTCGACATTCCCTGATTAACGATATTGTTAAGGTAAGCTAATCTGATTATTATTGGTATTGTTAAGGTAAGCTAATCTGATTATTATTGGTATTGTTAAGGTAATCTAAACTGATTATTATTGATATTGTTAAGGTAAGCTAATCTGATTATTATTGGTATTGTTAAGGTAATCTAAACTGATTATTATTGATATTGTTAAGGTAAGCTAATCTGATTATTATTGGTATTGTTAAGGTATAAATGCACATACCAGAACAACATTTTGACATAGTTTAGCATTCCACAAGTAATGTGATGGCATCAAAATTTTACTGTTTTGGGGGAAGGAATATAACAGCATTTTCCAGTGCGAAATATACATACATTCAGATTATTAATGATATGCTCAGACCGGGGAATTAGAATTTTAAAGAGATGGATATCCCTTGTACTTAAGGACATTAAAAACACAAGAATGTGGATCATCTTTGGGCACCAGGCCCATTCAGAGAGATTTCCATCAAGTCGTACTCCAGCCATGGTATGCAAAGTGTAGTGTCTTGTAACAGGTGAGAATTCACGAACACAAATGTCGGTGGAAAACCCAGTAACCTACCTGAGGCAACAGTGTGCAACATAATCATGAAGGATCTCTCTCTGTGGGAACGATACTAGCTGAATGTGGGTTCATCAAGATAAGGCTTCCTGTAATACCTCCTGTTGAAGAGTCGAATGCCTCAAGCAATGGAAGAATGAAAGAAATATTCATGTAAAGACATACCAGTCACGTCGTTGGATGTAAAACGAGTATTCATGTTATCTCATGTTCAGACATACCGATCAAGTCGCCGGATGCAGTGCTTATGAATTTCTATGCAATTGGCCTGTTAAAATGAACGCTGTGAAACCATCACATTCTTACTAGATGGATTATGTGGAAAGCATGCAGGGAAAGTAGTGTGCTTGGGACATACATTCTTACGATGAAGCCTTTTGCGATAAAGAGTACGCTGCAAGGCTAATGTGAAGATGCACGATCGTCAGATAGATCATGACGGGACGTGGATGGTAATGAAGTGAAAAGGCTACGAAATCATTAAGTATAACATATTCAACCTTTCTGAAGTTTTTAAAAACAATCAATAAATAAAGAGCTACCAAAAACGTATAAACGAGCACATAACAATCTGAAGATATAAAAGAAGGCTCCAAAGATAATAACGATATTATAAATAACAAGTTTTTTAATCTTTTTTAGGAATTGGATCTATAACTATTATTTAAAGAACGAAGACACATTAAACGTATCTTTTACAACAGGTTCAAAATATCAGAAGTTTGTCGTCTCTTGTTTTGTAGAAAGAACGTTGGAGAAACATTAATTGGTTTTCTACCAAACTCATTCTTACTCTAGGGCGTATACTACCTTCATAGTGGGGAAATAGGAACCCACGGGCGACTCCGGTCTACAAACTGTGTTGTGGACAGCCATTTTGTCCTCAAAGTAACCGATTTTGGTCTCCCATCTTTTCGTGAAGAAGAAAACTACAGCGAATACGATTTTAGGGACCAGAAAAGTAAGCCATTTTAAAAACATTTTTCCCTGGTACAAAACCATATTGGTTGATATTAATTGAACTGGCAGTGGCTTAGTGGTTAACGTCATCAGACAGCGAATACGATTTTAGGGACCAGAAAAGTAAGCCGTTTTAAACACATTTTTCCCTGGTACAAAATCACATTGGTTGATATTAATTGAACTGGGAGTGGCTTAGTGGTTAACGTCATCATACTGCGAATCCAAGGTTCGTGGTTCGCGCCCAATTGCTGCACAAACGTGGTGTGCACTTTAGGTGCGTTAACAGCATGGGCTGTCACACCGTTAATAGCATGAGGTTCAAACCCCACTATTAGAGTAGCCCAAGATTTGCTGCTGATTATCAACCCTCCTACAAGTCGTCCAGTTCAAAATTAGGGGGGATAACCATTCGTTTAGATTTGTCAGACATTTCTGAAACAACCAAACGGTTTTGGGATAATCCTTCGTTTCGATTTGTCAGACATTTCTGAAACAACCAAACGGTTTTGGGATAACCATTTCGTTTCGATTTCCAGACATTTCTGAAACAACCAAACGGTTTTGGGATAGCCCTTCGTTTCGATTTGTCAGACATTTCTGAAACAACCAAACGGTTTTGGGATAATCCTTCGTTTCGATTTCGTCAGACATTTCTGAAACAACCTAAACGGTTTTGGGATAACCATTTCGTTTCGACTTGTCAGAAATTTCTGAAACAACCAAACGGTTTTAGGATAACCTTCGTTTCGATTTGTCAGACATTTCTGAAACAACCAAACGGTTTTGGGATAATCCTTCGTTTCGATTTGTCAGAAATTTCTGAAACAACCAAACGGTTTTGGGATAGCCCTTCGTTTCGATTTGTCAGACATTTCTGAAACAACCAAACGGGCTTGCCTCAAACTGACATTTTTACATACGTAATAGTTATGACATTAACTTACAATAAAACTGACATTAATTTTAATCTCAGCATATTTTTCAGAAGTTTTGGTTTGGTTTAAATTTCGCGCAAAACTACACGATACAACCTGCATTAGCCCTCCCTAATTTTGTAGTGAAAGACTAGAGAGAAGGCAGCTAGCCAACCCCACCCACCGCCAACTCTTGGGCTACTTTTTACCATCGAATAGTGGGATTGACCGTCACATTATAACGCTGAAAGAGCGAGTACGTTCGGTGACGGGATTCGAACCCGCGACCCACAGCTTGAGAGTTGAGCGCCCCTAGTCATCAGGCCATGCCAGATATTAACAACTTGATTTACTTGTAACTGATCAACTGATCAACATTCATTATAAAACCTTTCTATTACTAGCTAAAATTTTACCTTTAAGAACCACCGTCCCTTTGTGGCTCAGCGGTAAGTCTGAAGGCTTATAATGCTAAAAACCGGGTTTCGATACACGTGGTGGTCTCAACGCAGATGGCCCATTGTGTAGCTTTGTGCTTAACGTCAAGCAAAAAGAGCCACCTGGTATCGCTACTACGAACTAATATACTAACACAAATAACTGAAAGGTTTTATTTTTGTTCTAAATATCGGTATTTTCCATTTAATATATTAGTGCTAACTGTTTTACCAATTTCTAAAATATAGGTACGAATTTCAGTATCTCATACACACATATAGATAATATTGAACAGTAGGACTGATAAAAAGAATTGGAAAATGTATTATTGCTAATTATTTAAAATAAATGCTGTTTCTTTTAGAATTGTCGCGCAAAGCTACACATAATCTTGTAAACAAATCGAACGTTGTCCTTCTTAGAAAAGTTGTAAACAAGTCGAACGTTGTCCTTCTTAGAAAAGTTGTAAACAAATCGAACGTTGTCCTTCTTAGAAAAGTTGTAAACAAATCGAACGTTGTCTTTCTTACAAAAGTTGTAAACAAATCGAACGTTGTCTTTATTACAAAAGATCTAAACAAATCGAACGTTGTCCTTCTTAGAAAAGTTGTAAACAAATCGAACGTTGTCCTTCTTACAAAAGTTGTAAACAAAGCGAACGTTGTCCCTCTTACAAAAGTTGTAAACAAATCGAACGTTGTCTTTATTACAAAAGATCTAAACAAATCGAACGTTGTCTTTCTTAGAAAAGTTGTAAACAAATCGAACGTTGTCCTTCTTAGAAAAGTTGTACACAAATCGAACGTTGTCCTTCTTACAAAAGTTGTAAACATAATTTTTCTAATTTTGAACTGATAGGCCAAAAGGAAGGCAGCTAGTGAACATCGACGGTTAGCTTATTCTAATCGAATACTGGTATTTAACCATATTTTTGGCAGTAACGGGATGTAAATCAACGAACATTAGTTCCGCACGCTAACCACTGGGCCACGCCCGGCACTATATAGTGAATAAGATTTTAATTGTGCCATCTTTTCAAAAACTTCCTCCCAGCTGTCGCTCAACGGCAAGTCTGTGGGCTCACACCGCTAAAAACCGGGTTTCGATACTCGTGGTGGGAACAGCACAGATAGCTCATTGTTTGCTTTGTGTTTAACAACAAACAAACACGTTTCAATGATACGTTTATTCTTAGAGTTGACCTTGTTTTTGAAGTATATTACAGTTTTTGTTACCGGAAGAAGTTTGGAGAAAAGTACTGGCTATATAAAGAATAAAATAATCACATAGTTACTGAGGAGATAAAAATAAAACCTATTAAAAGTGATTATTACAACATTATGTTTGTCGTTTACATAGATAAAGTCAATAGAAGTTTCTTGAATAGTTTTATTCAACGTTGTTCAACTCTTGAATTTAGAGTTACTTTGGAAAGCACCCGAACTTCTAAAGTTAACCCACTGTCCACCTAATGGAACACAGAAGGGAGATGTGTACAGTTTTGGAATAATTCTCCAAGAAATCGTTTTGAGAGAAGACCCATTCTACCCACACACGGAAATAATGGACTTATCTAGTAAGTGAAATGGTGTGATATGTGTAGCTAAATCTATGATGTATGTAGCTAAGTCTATGGTATGTGTAGCTAAGTCTATGGTATGTGTAGCTAAGTCTATGGTATATGTAGCTAAGTCTATGATTTGTGTAGCTAAGTCTATGATATTAGACTTAGCTACATATATCATAGACTTAGCTACACATATCATAGACTTAGCTACATATATCATAGACTTAGCTACTCAAATCATAGACTTAGCTACACAAATTATAGACTTAGCTACATATATCATAGACTTAGCCACATACATATATCATAGACTTAGCTACATATATCATAGACTTAGCTACACATATCATAAACTTAGCTACACAAATCATAGACTTAGCTACACATATCATAGACGTAGCTACACATACCATAAACTTAGCTACATACATCATAGACTTAACTACACATATCATAGACTTAGCTACACAAATCATAGACTTAGCTAGACATATCATAGACTTAGCTACTCAAATCATACACTTTACATATATCATAGACTTAGCTACATATATCATAGACTTAGCGACACAAATCATAGACTTAGCTACACATATCATAGACTTAGCTACACATATCATAGACTTAGCTACACATATCATAGACTTAGCCACATATATCATAGACTTAGCTACACATATCATAGACTTAGCTACACAAATCATAGACTTAGCTACATATATCGAGCTAAGTCTATGATATGTGTAGCTAAGTCTATGATTTGTGTAGCTAAGTCTATGATATGTGTAGCTAAGTCTATGATTTTGAGTAGCTAAGTCTATGATATGTGTCTTTATTTCACAGTACGTTTTAAATTAACATCCAGTTTGTGAGTCAAGGACACAGAATTTGAGGATTTTTTGGACACAGAGGAGGTGTGACAGTTTCCGGTATTTTCGTTTAAAAAAGTACTTCGATAAAGGGCTCAATCTGTTAGTTTGAAAACAAAAAACTCACACTTTACCTACAAAAGAACTCACTTCTTACGAATGTTCAGCCTCAAAGTTGTGGAGTTTAGGTGTTCGCTGGACCGTGTTCCTGTTGCACAATATAGTACAAGTTTCCATGTTCAGACAGACAGAGCATTTAGCCAACTTAAGCTATCATATACCATTTAAATGTCACAGACAAATTTTCAGTCATGTTTGTAGAAGTTATCAGGAACATAAGACACATATTTTTTATTTCTTTATTTTTATAATATGCAAATTAGGCACAGTTGTAATGTCACACAACATGTGCCAGAATATGTCTTTGTATCTATTTCGATATCTTTTCATACAAAAAAAAACCAAACAAACATAGTATGAATATATTTTTTCTGGTAGATAGGCCAAAACCTAGATAACATTATGTAAAGGATATAAGCTACCTTAACACAGGTGAGGAACCAGATCTTGTAGTTCTCAACAAGTGTGTTTTACGCAGGATTTTGGATGGATATGTAGGTTTTATTCTGTCATAGTTTGGAAACAAATGAAACTTATATCACAACTCAGATTACATAGATCGCTAGAAGTTCAAATCGATTTACAGATTTAAAAAAAAAAAAGAGGAATCTGGAAAGCTTTGTTTGGGAATCAATCAACCAATCAATGTCTCCCTGAACAGTGGCTGAACACCAGAGAAGTTGATATTATGTTAGTATTTGTAGTGCAGTTCGACACTGAGTGTATGTCTATATCTTGTGTTAGATATGTATGTCTATATCTTGTGTTAGATATGTATGTCTATATCTTGTGT